CCTGTTGGGTCTGTTGGATTTCTATTACTCTACTACACCTGCTAGTAAATTATTTGCCATGTAGAAATATAATTTCTACCAAAAACAGTGATTGATCAGGTAGTGATGTCTGACTGCTATTATTTTAAACACAACTGTATAAAGCATTACAGTAATCCAGTTGGGAGTGCGTGGATTTGTTTTGTTAGGTCTTTATTTGATATGAGTTGCTTGATAAGAAACTGATGACAGTTGACACTTGGGGCTTATTTAATAAAACTGAGTGATGCAAAATCCGATGCAGCTCTGCACAGTAATCAATCAGCTTCCAGGTTTTATTGGCAAAACTTAATTGAACAGTAGGAAGCTGATTGGCTACCATGCACAGCTGCACTAGATTCTGAGTGCTCCAGTTTTAGTAAATCTACACCTTGCTGTCTAACTCATGGTACAGAAGTACCATGTGATCCGGTTGCAATGCGTTTTTTTAAAGTATTGCATGTACTACTTTTGTTGTGGATTTTCAGCCCATTCAAATGAATGGGCTGAAAATGCACAGCACTCAAATCGCACAGGAATAGAACAGAAATGTGATCATGTCTGGGCTTTTAAAAAGAAAAAAATTATACTAACCAAGGTGGATGCAGCATCGACCCCCCACTGGCTCTGCACTAAGAACAGAGTGATCGAACACCAATGATTGCTCAGTTCTCCCCTCCACTCTGATCAGAGAGCTGTAACTGTCAGTCTCCAGCTCTCTGCTCTGCCCCTCCAGCGCTCACTGGAGCACCGGGCTGTTCATGGGGTGGGAGGAGCTGGCTTGTGCTCTCCACGGATCGCTGAGAGGCTGAGTAAGGTGCCGATCCAGGCTTCTGGGTAGATCCCAACCATATGGTCAGAATTTTTTCAGGTCGGCTCTGTGATGTCAGCCAACAGGGGGCTTTAGCCTCCCGTTGGCTGAAAATTAGTCACAGGAGTGCAGAATAAACTGCACTCCTGTGATCCATAGAAGTACAGCCAAAAAAGCTTTAAACCAAAAAGCTTTAAACTCCCATGATGCACTAGCCCAACATTTGTCTGAGTAGTCTGTTATCCACACCAAAAGTCAGAAATGAGGGTAACATATTCAATAAACATTTCAGTTGGACCTCAGTGTCATGAACTTTTGTACCGGTCACACCTCAAAACCCACCTCAGAGCTTGATGGTATTGGTGGCCTACATCTAATAGAGAGTTTACAAAAACCTACACCCTTTTTTCTGACTGTTGGTGAGGATAACACACTGCTCAGACAAATGTTGTGTTGGCTTGTCATCTACTAAGCGTTCTTTTTGAGGCTATCAGAGAGGCAGCAGCCCTGGAATGGAACAAGGTCCATGGACACTGCACCTTCATGGTTTATTAGCCCTTTGAAGGAGGTTTTGCCAACTGTATTGTTCTGTATTGTCTCCCGTTATATTGTAAAGCGCTGAGCAAACTGTTGGCTCTATATAAATCCTGTATTATAATAATAATAATGCTGGAGCTTCTGTTCTGCCTGTTATCCACCTGTCACTCCTGGTGACACACTGGGTTTACTTGACAAGGTTGGCTATGACATCATCTTAGGAGTAAGGTGGGAATTTTATATTGGGAGGTGCCTTCTAGTGACAGCATGAGACAAAGAAACCCTCCTAGCTCATAATCACCAGCATTTTTTTAAAGACACTTGGGATTCCAGTGACTCAGAACTTTTAAAGACACTATCAGAGTCTCTGTCAAAGTTAAAATGGCCAACTCATATTAATATTAAACAGACATTGTCATTATGGATGAACCCCAATCTCCCATGCCCATAATTATACCAACAGGTTATTCAAACCATTTTACAATCTCTTTTAGGTATTATGTGTGGAGAAGTGTAGCTCTTCCAACAAAACAGAATGATTGGCAATAGGCTGCAGTCCGGTCCATTATGGTCTTCAGTTTTCCTCTTTAAAAAATGAACTCCTGTACTGAAACTACAACATGTGTAAAAATCAGCCATTGGGAAAAGGATCACTGACCCAACTCCCCATAATTTCCAATTATACACTGAGCCTCCCCCCTGCAATATGGAAGAGTTTGGACCTGTCAATTGGTCATTCAGAACTGCTGGTCAAACGGTGTCAGGGAGAAGTCTGGAAGGTAATTATAAACCGCTTATCCTTTCTACTAGAACTACAACTCTTAAATTAAAGGTTAAGTTCACTATTTAACAAAAAATAATAAATGCACATTTTTTGCAGGTAAAAAAAAATATGCATTTACTATTGTTTGTTTTAGGAGCCTGGAAGGAATTGCACCAGCGATCAGCAGATCAGTGGTGCCATGCTGGGCTCCTGCAGACTGTCAGCGTAATCTGTCTGCCTGTACATCATACAGGCAGGCAGTTTTACACTGACAGGAGGAATCAATTAACTATTACAGAGCTCAATAGCACCGTGGTAGTTCATTGAGAACTACAAGCTGACAGCCGCAAAGGCTGTCGGGACTTGTAGTTTCCCATTCAAAGTCTGTGAATGAATGACGCGCCCACACCGATAGAGGTCACAACAGGGGGGGGGGGGGGGGGGGACTTTTCCTACAGTAAGATTTTGAATATGGGTGTGACGTTACAAAAGGTGAACTCATCCTTTAAACATAAAGAGCCGTCCATGTCTTTTTTGTGCTCATCAGTTGTATGTTGCAACTTGGTGACCACTTACGTGACAATTATTAACACGGCATTCCCTTACTCAACCCTCCATTTAGTTAATTCACAACAAGTTGCAATATTGTTCACAGCAGATTCCAGCTGTGCATATCCCTTTACAATGTGTGTATGCTCTCCTGTCATTGACATCCTTCTGTATCATTCACACTCTCCCCACAGTAGACAGATTGCGGGTTAATAAAACTGGAGAGTGAAAAATCTGGTGCAGCTCTGCATAGAAACCAATCAGCTTCCAGGTTATATTGCCAAAGCCTAATTGAACAAGCTGAAGTTAGAAGCTGATTAGCTACCATGCACAGCTGCACTAAATTCTGGGTGCTCCAGTTTTAGTAAATCCCCCCCATTCTGTCTATAGCACGCTACACCCCTAAAGGTTAATGATGTAGAAATATATTGCTCAGTGTGTATAGTTTTCCAATGGACTGCAGAACAAAAAAGAGAATATAAGCAAAAGACCATGGTGCTTTCTATGCTTTTGTATTAAAACAATGCATAAACCCTTATGTGTAATTATGCACTCGTGCACTCCATGTTACACATTTACTGCTTGGGATGCTGAGTCTGAGCATTGCCGATGTTATAATTTCAGGTGCATGCTGTGGCTCCTCCCACTCCAATGACGTCACTCAAGCTCTGCCCTGTGCTTTACATCTGTCGACTTTGTGATGAACCCTCCAACTAAATGGAGGGTTGATCGCATGAATGCTGTGCTGTAATATGTCACTTAAAGTCCCTAAAGTCAAAACTAATTACCCCTGATCCAACAGTCCAACGCCCCTAGGTGGCTCCAGCATCTTCTCCTCGTCTTCAGCCATTCTGATTAGTTGGTGTGGGATGATGTCACATCGGCACATGTGCAGGAATGCAGTTATCCTGGTACCATGCTGGAATGTAAACTGAGCTGTGCATTTACAGTTCAGTATATATTCTACAGAGTTTTGCAAACAGACATGTGGGGAGGTGCAGCTGTAGTGAACACACAGAGTCCGCTTGCAGTAAAGCTTGAAACTTGTATTGAGCAGAATGCCAACATACAGATACCCTAGCGGGAGAGCGCCACTTAGGGAAACAGCTTACAGTTGAATGCAGTCAAAGACGTGGCTGAGGAGCGATGCCAACAGCACCTGTACTAGAGGTTGAAATACGGTCTGGCCGGTCTGGTCGTAAACAGGGAGACTTTTTTCCAGATCTTTTGCCTGTCCCTTTTCATCAGGAACCTCTCTGTAACACTTATGGCTTTTCCTAACAAATGGGGTCTCTATCCCTACACTAGCCATCTGCATAAAACGTGCCAAAATCTGAGACTTAAATAGACCCTGCTGGCCCAAGATGGCCACCAAGGATCACATGACCGCAGCGAAGCCAACCGAAACACTGCTCCACTGACCCAGGAAATAACAGAGAAACTATGTTTCCCTTCGACTTCCTCTCCAGGCTGTGGTACCACTCGGTTGAGTATCACCTACAGTGAAGCAAACAGATTGTACCTGCCTACAGACAGGTAAGTGTATTTTTGTGCAGAAGAGAGAGTTGCATATCTCTTCCGCAATAAAAAGCCTGCCTGTTTGCAATTTTATTTTTCAACATAAGTTCTGCTTTAAGTGATCGCTAAGCTGCTATACACAGGTGATAGGCAGACACAGACAGAGCTATGTGGGGGGATATTTAATGAAGCTGCTGTGACACTTTACTGGCATTAATCTCTCTTGTTAATGTATTGCGCCGAGTTTGTAATGCATTTGCAATATTTTTGGTTCTGACAGCGACTTGTGCATTGAATATGCCACTCTAACATTGTGTTCCAATGTCTGCGCCAAATGTACATGTGGAGCTAATCAGGACCAACTCTTTTAGCATACAGGGAGAAAAAATGGCTCAGACAGATTTTGCGAAAGTGTCTCACGTGCATTCTAAAAGTGGCATAGCATGATCCAAATTCAGGTACAAGTTCCAGACAGCTAGATGAGTTTGGTGCATTCTTCACCACTTTTAGAATGCATGAGAGAGACTTTTGCAAAAGATGGCTGTGCCAGTCTTTATGAATTCCACGGTATATGTTTAATGTAAGTTTTATGGCTGAAGTAACTTACTGAGCACTTTATCACACCACTAGCACTTTTTAATGTGTATTGGGTAATTATTTAGAAATCAAATGAATTAGAATGTTTTTATATAATATTTATGTAGGTACCGTATTTTTTGCTGTATAAGACGCACATTTCCCCCCCCAAAAATGGGGGTCTTATGGAGCAAAAATGGAGCGGCCGGCCCAGTATTCCCGCCACCGCCGTGTTAGATTACCGGGCCGGCTGCTCGGCTCTTCTGTGCTCCTTGATCCTACCTGTTCCATGGTCCAGCACTGTCCTCACCGTCTTTTCTACCCAGCACCGGCATCTTTACTGTGGGCACCCGGCTGTGACAACTTGTGGCTTCACAGCTGGGTGTCCACTGCACATGCGTGGCAGTCTTCTGGGACCTGTCACGTGTCCCAGAAGAAGGGGAGGGAGGACAGGTACCTGTCAAATTCAGGTACCCGCTCCCCAAAGGTCCGCAGTCTCTGGTCATCCCCTATACCGTGTCCGCAGTCTCTGGTCATCCCCTGTACTGTGTCCGCAGTCTCTGGTCATCTCCTGTACTATGTCCGCAGTCTCTGGTCATCTTCTGTACCATGTCCGCAGTCTCTGGTCATCTCCTGTACCATGTCCGCAGTCTCTGGTCATCCCCTGTACCGTGTCCACAGTCTCTGGTCATCTCCTGTAGTATGTCCGCAGTGTCTGGTCATTTCCTGTACTATTGCTGCAGTCCATTGGTTCAGGATATTTTTTTTCTTGTTTTCCTCCCCTAAAACCTAGGTGAGTCTTATGGTCAGGTGCGTCTTATGGAGCAAAAAATATGGTAGTTATAGTATTTCACTTGCTTTTATTGTATAACTTAGGTACTGTGCACAACACGTGCCATGCTGGCAAACTTATATGGAGAGCATTAAAGCAGAACTTCTCTCAAAAGAGGATGTTCCGCTAACCCCAACCCCCCCCATCACCTTTGGTATATAATTTTTTTTTGGGGTAGCTCAAATTGCTTTTGACAGGTATCCATTCCCTTACTTTCGGTTGGATAGCCGGTCCCAGTGGAAGTCTGTACCCCCCCCCCCCCCCCTTCCCCCATAGCCTTCTGGGACCTGACACAGGTCCCAGAAATCTGTGGTACCAATCAGATAGAGTAGCGTACCTTGCGCATGCGCAGTAAGCAGCCAGCTGTTAAGCAGCAAGCAGCAACAGCCGGCTGCCCACAATTAGAATGGTGGCACCGGGGACCAAAGCCCGGTGAAGAAACCAGCCGGGTGAGGAGAGTGCTGGAACTTGGAACAGGTGAGTGTCTGTTTATTAAAAGTCAGCAGCTACAGTTTATGTAGTTTAATAGATGACTGAAGAACTGCTTTAACTGTTTTGAAGTGTTTTTTTTTTAATTAACATTAAAACACTGTTGAAAATAGAACAGGTCTAAAGACTAGACTATCCTAATGACAGAGGTAGATACATCAGATGGCCCTATGATACATTTTTCATCATATATAATAATCCTACTCCTTGCATGTAGTCATAGAAATGAGTAAATGTATATGTAATTGGGTCCTGAAATAATACTTTAAGTGTATAGAAGGACTGAGTTTCATAGTTGGAGAAGCAGGGATTCATTCTGCTGGCTGTCTCATCTTCTGCTGATGACTGGAAAAGAATCGCACAGCTCCAGTCATCTCAGTCTGTAGCTGTATTCTTGATGAACATGGAAGCTGACACATACACACAGACTGCATGTTCTGCCAGACAGCAACAACTAGATGATAATGACAGAGAAAGACTTACCTTGCTTTTAGAGGATTTCAGCGATGTTTCTGCAAAACAAAATGTGTGAACTGCATCACTCTCTAAGACATAAATTAAATATTTCCATATATATATAGCAGGTGAAAGTGGAACTATAATAAAAAATAAAAAAAATGACACACTTAATGCAGTCTGTCATCTGTCACTAATATTAACACAGTTTTTGTGTTCCCAAGCCCTACCGTAATATACACTGATCAGCCATAACTTTATGACCACTGACAGGTCATAGCATTGATTATCCCGTTACAATGTCCTTCTTGAAGTGGGTGGGGCATATTAAGCAGACAGTAAACATGTCCTAGAAGTTGATGTGTTGAAAGCAGAATAAAAGGCCAAATGTAAGAACTTAAGCAACTTTAACATGGGACAAATTGTAATGGCTAGACAACTGGGTCAGAACACGTAAACTGCAGCTCTTGTCAGAAGTTCCCAGTCTGCAGTGGTCAGGACCAAAAGTGGTCCAAGGAAGGAAAACTGGTAAACCCATAACGGGTCATGAGCGGCCATGGCTCAATGATGCATGTGGAGAACAAAGGCTGGCCCGTGTAGCCCAATCCAATAGAAGAGCTACTGTAGCTCAAATTGCTGAAAAAGTTAAGGCTGGTTCTGATATAAAAGTGTCAGAAAACACAGCGCATCACAGTTTGCTGTGTATGAGACTGAGTAGTCGCAGAACGGTCAGGGTGTCCATGCTGACCTGAGCCCACAGCCAAAAGAACTTACAATGGGCACATCAGAATTGGACCACACAGCAATGGAAGAAAGTATTTTTGAGGTGTTGACTTGGGATCCAAATTCTCCATACAATCGAACACCTGTGGCATGTGCTGTAAAAACAAGTCCAATCCATGGAGGCCCCATCTCGTGATTTACAGGACTTAAAGGGACCTGCTGCTGAAGTCTTGGTGCCAGACACCAAAGCATACCTTCAGAGGTCTAGTGGAGTCAATGTCTTGATGGGTCAGGGCTCTTTTGGTGGCAAATGGGGGACCTACCCAATATTAGGTGGGTGGTTATAATGTTATGGATGATCGGTGTAGGTTTATTGCTCTTGATTCTGCCATTAAATCTGTTTTTCTCTCCTTTGAACAGGTGACAACACTGTTAATTTTGCAGTTTAGCAGTGGCTAACTGGTGGTCAGTAGGTGCTAATGCTGCCTACTGAACGTCTGTTTTTTTTTTTTTTTTAGCTTTTAATTTGGAGAAGGGCAATTTTACAATGTGGAGCTGTGCCCCCACTATGAACCCAGCATTCGGCTCGTGGTTGTGGTGCAGCCCTATTGAACTCAATAGGTGAATGACAGGCAGTGCTGCTTATCAGACTTTGCACCCAAAGTTTAAAATGCCATGGTTGGAAAAGAATTGTGGCTGTGGCATTTGTGCAGCCCTGTCTTGCTGTATTGTTACAGTTCAGGTGTGTGTATGTGTGTGTGTGGGGGTCTGGTGTGGGGAACCATGGCTCAAACTTGTCCACTGAGTTCAATGAGGTTGCAACGCAACTGCGAGTCAAGAGCTTGGCTCTCAGTTGCAACACAATCCTGCAATGTAAAATTGCCTTTCAGAAATTTAATAAAAAAAGTAAAAAAAAAAAAAAAAAAACTAGACAGTAGGGCCCTCTTGAATGCCTGTCAGCTGCTGCTGTACCGGCCTCAGAAACGTGATCCACCACAGACCTCTTTTCAGAGGTAATGTGAAATAAGCCTATATAGTCTGAAAAGCACTAAGCAATATGGCTGTGGTATAGATATATATTTTATACATAAACATGTGTGTATATACTGTTTTTATATTGTCATAAGAGGCTGCTAATAAAGGTGTAGGATAATTTCCATGTAGATGTTGCAAATGTGACATACAGTACATAGTTGTAGCTATTTGAGTCTCTTTCATACAGTACATGTATTGCTTTTAATTAACATGGTTCTAAACTGTCAACTCCTCTATTGTTTCGTCTCCCCCCCCCACTCCTAAACACTTACTTGAGTCCTCTATTGATACAGCGCTGAGGCTGGCTTCAGCTCTTCTTACCACTCTCCCTGCTCTCACAGGCTGCACTGACAGCAGCAGGATCCATAGGCTCCTGCTGTTGTCAATCAAGTTCTGGGAGGAGAGATCAGGAGATGGGGCCGAACCACACTGTGTGTGTGTCTATGCTCGGGAAAGTGTTGGTGGGGGAACCCAGAAGAGGAGGTAAGGTTACCAATGCACAGAGCAGGTAAGTATAACTTCTTTTTTATTCTAATTTACAAAAATGAAGGTTTACAACCGCTTTAAGGAATAGTGTTATAAAGTAGCTGTCCACCTCGCCCCAACATACCTATCTTTAATGTGCGCCCAGCACCCGGCTTGTTCTTGTAGCAGATTCTCTGCAGTTCGCAGCGGCCGGTCAGCTTTCTCAAGATAAACTTGAAGCAACGCCAGAGACAAATGCAGTAGAAGTATAGCCACACCTGAACCACCATTCTGCAGACAAATGGAGACACACATGTTACATTTCAGCTTCAAAATACAACAATTCTATGGAAATTTAAAGGAGAACTCTGGTCTAAATACACAATGCGGTTAAAGTGAAAGCTTAATAGAGTGATGGGACCTATAAAAATATTGCTTGCATACAAAAAAAACAGGCAAAGGGTCTGCAAGTAAATGAAGGGCTACACTTACCTCTCCAATGGGCACAGATGGAATTCTTAGCCCTTTTGCACAGCTAGGAGCACTGCTGCTATCCAATATTTCTGGGGAGTTGGACAGTGTGTTATCATTGAGCACTGTGGTTCCTTGTGATGGCTGCTACATTACTACTACACAGTGACATATAGGTGGGAAGAAGGAACCACAGTATCTAGCACAGGATGTACCAATCCACACATGTGGAATATCAATTAGAGGCAGCACCCAGGGCACTGCACAGAGTGAAGGATTCAGTCACTGCCCACTGGAGAGGTAAGTATAACTCTTCTTCCTTTATAGCCCTGGCGCCCAATCTGCAGTCCTTTGGCATTCATGTTGCTGCCCTCTGGGGATTTTGTACTTGCTCCGAAAGCAAATAAAAATGTTATTTTAAATGGCTTCTAGTAGCTGGTTTGATGATTTCTTTTGTGTCATCTTTTTTCTGTGCTTTCCATTGCTTTTCTGTTTTCAATATTTTCTTTCCTCAGTTCCTCTATAATGGATGGCTCAAACTTTATAAGCAATTACAGCAAACAGGTTTGTTTTCCTTTCGGGATAAAGATTTTATATCATAATAATAATAATCAAAGCTGATCATTGTAAGCACCCCTGCCAGTGAATGGTTTGTCTTATCTCTGTAACTGAAACATCTGCAAGAGAGCTTGTCCTTTTGAAAAACAACAGACTTACTGGCCAGATCAAGATAAAATATAGTATAAATAAAGCCTAAAAAAAGAAAATTAATCCAGCCATCACATGTAAGAATTGGTAAACTGCAAAATAATAAATGTTTGCTTTTTGGGTTTAATACTGCTTTAAAGCTCCACCAAGCACTATTAAATCTGTAAAAAAAAGCAAAAGAAAATTGGTAGGTATCTCAATTTTTCCAACAGTTACACAAATGTGAAAATGTTAGATTAGGAAATGTGTATTGATCTTAGAAAAGGACAGGCAAAAACAGCAAATTATTCTAGGCATCTGAATTAAAGAAAACACAAGTTTGCAAACCAGCAGACTTCATGCTTTCAAAAGCTGGGAATAAACTACTAATAGATTACATTTAACAATCTGGATATCTCTATTAAAAAGGTAGAAAAATGTTTACACCAGAGTTCTTTAAAAGCAAAATCTGTAAAGTAAAACTAAAAGACGTAAATTAAAATATTCCAAGAATTGTTAGGATAGAGAATTCCAAAGAGGAAAAGATGTGAACAATTAGTAAGACAGTGAAGTTATGTATCTTGTATTACACATAAGGAAGGGCCTTTGAGAGCTCCTCTTTGCCAAAAAGTAGTTGGAGCTAAAAAGAATCCAGATGCGTTTG